GGGTGGTAAGGGAGGGGGTGGGGGCAGTGGGGAGAAATGAACCAATCCTTGTATGCACATATGAATAATAAAAGAAAAATGAAAAAAAAAAGTGTGGAATTTCTAAAATTATCTTTTAAGGTGTATTTTAAAAACAGAATTAGTACATTGAATCTAAAATAATACTGAAAATAATAACTTCAAATTAAAATAAGTAATGAGTAGAAAATTCCAGAAAGAGGTTATGAATAGTTAAAACCTTACACTGATTCATTTTTCTACAAGAAATAGATTTTTTTTTCTATTCACTACTCAAGTCCAAATGGCTAATTCTGCAAACTCTATCCTATCAAGAGATTACAAATTTACTAAGGTTGTGAACCTGGTGGGCCCTACAGGTAATTAACTGCAGTTATGTCCTTGACCAGTGGTCTCATTTCACCAGAGTTTAACACGTCAGCTTCAAATTTCATCACTGGAAAATATGAGCTATAAACCATGCTGCCTTAGTGAATATAAACTCTAAGATCTACATTTTTAAACAGTTACATGTTTCAGTACAAGAACTTGAGTCTATTTCTTCTAAAAATCTATTAAACTACCTGTCCTTCAAAAAGTTCTCATTATTAGAGTCTAAGATGTATATATGAGATTTGTATAATTTTTTAAATAGTTCTTAAATATTTACTGTAATATAGAGTCTTGTAGCAGTGAGAAAACATCTGAAGAGTCAATGATGCTGTTTAAAGGAGTTTCTCTGCCAGCTAGTAGGAAGCGTGGTAGTCGATTGCATATCCCCTTCCTACTTGGCCAACAAAACTTGAGAAAACTCTGCCAGGTCACAAACATCCCACTCCCTGTGCTCACTTGAAGTTAACTAACCATTAATAAAAATCATCAGCGTGAACGGAAAGTGCTGGCTCGAGTACCAAGCAAATGTTCATTATATGATGCTGTTTGGGAACATATGTCCCCTGCTTTCCCAAGCATGACAATACTCCTCCCTACCTCAGGAAGGGTGAGAGCGTCTTGTTTGATATCTTGTCGAGTATGTGTCAGAATCAGAGCCAAGACCTCCACTGTCTTTCCGAGACCCATCTCATCTGCTAAGATGCCACCAAGCAACTGTGGCCCAGAATGTGGGTACTCACGGATGATGCTAAAGGAAAAATCAAGAAAACACACCACAGGAATGTAAGGAAAAGTTTACTCTTCCTACTTAGTGATCATAAAAACAGCTGGAAGGAATGCATAAAAGCCTAAGTTTATTGAAATTATATCTTAAGGTAAAACAATTCAAATCTCCAGACCATAGATAAAAGAACTGTAATAACGAAAAACTGTCTGAGCTGACAAGTCTGAAAAGAGTGGGGCTGATAAATATTTGTCATATTTTTCTCTTTCGTAAATAAAAGAAACATGTCTACCTTCTTTGTATGACCTTTATGAATACGTAAGTAAAAAACAGGAAGGGCAATAACTACTGATTCATTAATTATGCTTATAGATCCCTAAAACAGTTAATAAATATAAATTCACATGTTTAATAAAAAGTATAGAAACTTGTCTATAATAAACAAGGTAACACTTTACTTAGACTAAAGAGTTCTTGGTAACTAAGTTATGTCCTTAAGATGCATTTATTTACTAAAAATGACAAATCTACCTAGTTACAAAAATGGTTAAGAAAACTAACTTAGCATTCTGTTTTGAGGAATGCGTGATAGTAACCAAGAGCACATATTACAATGTCATAAAGTTTCTCACTATAGTTATATTTTAAATCAATCACGTAAATAAAATTTTACCTTACCAGCCTGTGTAAGGATTATAGTAGAGTTTCAGCCCTTCAGATGTAACAATTTCTCGCCATAAGAAGTGCAGAGAACTTTCTAAAGAAAAGTATAACCATAAGAATAATTTTTGTTTGTTTTACTTTCTGTCAGAAACTAACATTAAGATAAAAATAAAGAGACAGGACATCCTGCAATACTGATTCCGAAGTCCTATGTCCTTGAGAAGTCTCATTCAGGAAAGGCCACTTGCTTAGCACATGCCTAAGTAATAAGGCAGAAACACAGTGTAACAAATACAGAGGGTTAACAGGAAGACAGTGGGAATATATACAACCACCTCCTACCCAACAAAGCTTATCTTTTATAAGTCATCCAAGAAGTTGATGGTATTTTAAAATTATGCAAAAGACATACGCTAATAAGCTAGTACATTTACCCAAACCATAACTGGCCGCTTACGTGGGCTGGAGAGTGGGAGAACAGGCTTACTTAATTGAGGAAAACAGTACCTCAAACCTTAATATTCAATACTGAGCTTGTTTCAACCAGAACCTTCTGCTGTCTTTCCCCTTAATATGTTAACTTGTTTAAATTAACTGCAAATAGGAAGTGCATCTCTATCTACTAGTGAAATGCAAGTCATTTTTTGTTGCTTTTAAAAGGTATTAGTAGATGAACTTTTTTTATAAAATGCAAAATTTAAAAGACAAAGTTTTAATTTGTGGGAACCACAAGGGACAAAAGACCTGCTGTTACATGGGGATTTTAATCAACCAGATGTTTGTGGCAAA